TCTGAATACGACGGAACCCGAACAGAGAGAGAAAAAGGACCAACCCTCGTCCCATCGTTTAAGTCCCTAGCCCGGGAGACAGAGACACTCGGAATTCCGGCTTGAAAGGTCGCCAAGTTTGCACCGGCCTCGCGTTCTTCTTCTCGCCACTTCTCCCATTCGGGGAACAACGTACATACGTGGCATGTGCGAAATTGCTCGGAAACTCTGGCAATAAGTCGGCCGCTTCGAACCGGAAGATTCTTCCTTTTTTCCTCTCGATTTTTCGATTAAAGTTCTTCGTCGATTTTTTATTCTGAAGTGAATTCAAATGGCAACTTATTAAGATTATGCATTATAAGGTGGACATTTTGGAGCCTAATATTTTAGGTTCCTTGTGTTTTTGATGTCACGTGCTCTTAAAGTATTTTCAAGGTTATTCAAACTCTTACGAGGGTGTTACAAAGTTTTAACTTCACTGCAAGTTATAGAGTCGCTTTAACTTTACTGCTGGGTCATTTGAATTTTACTGCAAGGTCATTACAAGGTCACTGGAGACCTTTACATTAAAAAAAAATAAAATGTGTGTACTAATTTATGTTTTGTCTTTTGGTTATCTATTTTTCAACTTCATTTTTAATTTCAAATTAAGGACACATAAGTTTAGCATCACCCTGTACGTTACACATATGAACATACCCAGTCACCTAATATACCTACAATATGCAGGATGTCTCATAACTAATGTTACTTCAACTGCATACTTAATCAATCTCCAAAGAAAAAAAAAGAAACAAATTCTTCCTTCAGTTACAAGTTATCTTATCGACCACACAGTACAGACAAAACGGAAGCATTTAGTAATAGACATTCACAAGTTTATGGTTAACGATTTACGATCTGTAAGCGCTCGAGGAAAGCTTGCGTATAAAAGTTTATGCAGTGTCACGTTTGAATGTATTTGGCCTCGAGACATTATATGATCTCACGGACTCAGCGGAACGGGATCGTAAAAAGGGACACTTCGGGTCCTGTGAAATTCCCTCGTAGTTCAGCCGAGTTTCTGGCTGAGATGGACATTTAACTGACAAATGACCGATGTAGACTTTCGATGGGTGAATTCTAAAGTGTCCGAAACCTTCCTCTGAACGTACATGGTCTGAATATCACATTCTAACCTGTTACATTTCTATTTCTTATTAAACATGACGTTGCTCGTTACTTGTCACTTTGTACTTGATATAGAAATTTAGATATGTAAGAATTAGAGAATGTGGACATTTAAAAATGTGGGGATCTGAAACTTTGTGGACCTAGAAACTTAGGAATATAGATTTCTGCAAATCTAATGATTCGAACCTCTAAGAATATGAGAAATTTAAAAATCTATTTAGAGACTTAAAAGTCCAAGGATCCACAGATTTGAGTCCAAAAAAATTCAAGAATTTGCATAATCAAAAATCTAGAAATGTAAAAATTTAAAACATTGCACATATACCTCGTACATAAGCATTTTAATCGTCCCGCAATTCCAGATGACGGTTCTCGAACGAAGTAACATTTCATTGCAAAAAAAGAAAAAAAAATAGCTTTTCACCGCTGTTTGCTCCACCGTTTCCGTTGTTTGCTATATAAACGAAACATTCCCGTAATCCCAGTTTCCCTGTGTATTATTTCGTTCTCTTCATTCGTTCCTCTCACTTCCAGCTGACGTTCTACTCTTTCTCTCGGTGCCGTCATCCTCCACTCGCTTACCACCTATTTACGTTTCAAATAAGCTTTTATACGCTCACGTCCTTCGTTCCTCGACGAGCAGCTCTCCTCCCAGACGGGAATAAAGACTTTATTCCATTCAGTTTCATTTTATTCCGCGTTGTACCGGCTGCAGGATCGGACGAGCTCGGGTCCCGGGACCCAACGCGTGCGCGTACAGTCAAGGGCAAATATGGACTCCCTAGGGGAAAATGTGGTAGCTGGGGTAAAATGGATCAATTTCCGATTTTTAGGGATTTTTGAAAATTGGAGGGCACAGAGATGGGGGACAATTTGGGAACATAGGAATTTGGAGAGATTCACATATGTATAAATTTTCAAGCTTCCACATATGTATAAATGTTCCAAGCTTTCACATATGTATAAGTCTTCAAGCTTGCACATATGTATAAGTCTTCCAAGCTTCCACATATGTATAAATCTTCAAACTTCCACATATGTATAAGTCTTCAAGCTTGCACATATGTATAAGTCTTTCAAGCTTCCACATATGTATAAGTCTTCAAGCTTCCACATATGTATAAGTCTTCAAGCTTCCACATATGTGTAAGTCTTCAAGCTTGCACATATGTATAAGTCTTCAAGCTTCCACATATGTATAAGTCTTCCAAGCTTCCATATATGTATAAGTCTTCCAAGCTTCCACATATGTATAAATTTTCAAGCTTGCACATATGTATAAATCTTTCAAGCTTCCACATATGTATAAGTCTTCCAAGCTTCCACATATGTATAAGTCTTTCAAGCTTGCACATATGTATAAGTCTTTCAAGCTTCCACATATGTATAAATCTTCAAACTTCCACATATGTATAAATCTTCAAACTTCTACATATGTATAAATCTTCAAGCTTCCACATATGTGCAAATCTTTCAAACTTCCACATATGTATAAATTTTCAAGCTTTCTCATATGTGTAAATCTTTAATTTTACACATATGTCTACACCTTCAAACTTGCACATGTGTATATTCTTTTAATATTTACATGCATACAAAAATATTTAAGTGTACATATACGTAGAAATATCCAAGTATATGTAGAAATATCCAAGTATACATATATGTATAAATTTCGAAGTAACACGTATCTAAAGGGAGCCTAGGTTGCATCGGAGTGTACACGCAGGAACACGTGCGTGGGACGACGATTCAGGTAGATTATCGGCCGGTCGAACCGGTTACGAAAGGTGCGCGCTGAAACGGTGGGGCGGCTCGATCGGAATTGCTAATTAGGCGCGTGTAAAATTACTGTAAATCGACGAGCCGACTATTACCGTAAACAGGCTATCCTGTATGGGAATATTTCACCCGTGAAAAGGGGAGACGATGCGTTTCGATCGCGTTTACCTTCGATAGGGATATCGAAACGCCGCGCGGGGAAATTATTTTCCGTTTTATGGAGATATATCGAAGATACGCGTTGTAAATAAACGTTAATCGTTGCTTAATGACTCTGACAAGGTTTTGCGATAAATTATTACTCGGACTTTATCGCGCAATCGGTTAAATGCATGAAATGTGGACAAGAATTTTCTTTGGTGATTACGTACAAAGTGCACTTTTTAGTTTGACAGATAATTGATTCGTTTAAGTTATTGTTCAGACCAGGTAAAACCAAGAGGTGGCCAGTCACTTAAAATTCCATTTAATGATTTTACTACCTTTGCATCATACAGACCATCACTGTGTACTATTCACACGAATAAATCTTTCGTTAAAGAATAAATATTCGAACATCTATCACAACCTTATAAGATCCAGCTAATTAACAGTTGCTGATAGAATCGCAAATAGAGAAGATCGAGTAAATTGAGAAAATCAAATCAAAAAGGAATGCTACAGTTCGATTTCTGTTGAGAATAGAATATTAGCGAGACGAGATTCGGCCGATAGGATAGGTCGGAAGCGAGCCGTGGTCGCACTAAATATTCGAAACGGTCGGAATTTCCGATTCATGAATATCACAGGCCGCGTATGAATTAGTCCGGGGAAGCAGGAGGAGATGGAAGTTTAATCGGGAGAACGGGACGCCTCGTCCTTGATATCGGCTCCGGCGAGGGAAAACGCAAGCGCCAACGTTCCACGTGGCTTGAAATTACACCGTGGTTCCAGTTCCTTCGGGGGCCACAAATCGTTCCGGAGCATCCAGATCTCGGCCACGGTCCTTGCTCCATTTCTCTCTCTTTCCCCTTCGATCGCCGATCGATCCGCCGACCGTTTCAATTACCGTAATTTTCGTTATAAATTTATTTCGTTGTAGAAGCGTTTTATTATACAGCGCGGACGATTTAGTGGAGGCACCGATTTCGCTCGTTTCTCCCTGCATCGCGTTCGTAAATTCTCTTCGATGGCCTCGGCTGAGAGAAGCTACGCCGAGACTTGGAAACGAGCAATCTCGCTGATGTTCGCCGATTTTATTACGCGAAATTTGTGTTTCGGTTTATGTAAATAAATCCTTTACCCGAGAAAACAAGACGTCTACTCATCGACATCCAAATTTCTTTCGCTTGTTGAAAAATCTTTGTTGTAAAGCAGAACTAGGGAAAACATGTTCATTTGATAGAAAATCAACAGCTGCATCAAGATAAAATTTTGAACATGTAATCGTCGTGTTCATAATTAAGTCTGGAATCTGATAGAGTTAACAAGACATCTATCAAACCTACTGACAACCCTGTTCCTGTGAAGGCTGATTCAGATTTAAGGGACATATCTGACCTTGAGCCCAGTTCCTTGAGTCCCAATCTAACGTTCTGACATTCAAGGTAACTCGAAACGTTTTTTAACTCTTTGACTCTTTGTTCTTGTTCTTCAACTCAATTTGACCCCACAAGCCACTAATTTCTACCATAAAAAATAAGTGTGAGTCTAGGTATCCATTTTTCTATTTTGACCAATAGGACCCGTAGTCATACCATAGTTTAGTCAGACTGATTAAACTGGCTGTCTAATTGATTGATTAAACTGGCTGCTTAAACTGGCAGACATTCTGTCTAATAGTTTAGTCAGTCATCTTCTGGATGAATGACATCTTTAGTCAGTTAGGTCAGCCTCCCACAGTGTCACGAACAGTACATGTTAAAGTAAAAGTAGAATCGTCCGAGTAATAACAGAAACGATTTTCAGCTTTGTTCAGCGTCAAAGGTGCGAGAGTAATATTTGCTGTAAAGGCAACGCATAAAATGACGCATATGGAAGCGGGTGATGCATAAAAGACAAACAGGTCGGTGAAAAGAGTATCGTACCTGGTGTGGCTGCAGGGTGTCAGGGATGGGCCGTGGTGCTATTAGCCAGCCGTGCTTACGGGGCGCATAAGCGCAACCTCCACCTCCGAGCTACTCCGGCTTTGTCTCTGCATCCTGAAAAACCGAGAAATAAGCGAAATGAGTTATACGTCAAAGTCGGGTATTCGGGTATTACAAAAGATCGAGTTTCGACCTTTCACTATTCTCAAAATTTGGGCCAATGATCATAGCAGTCGAGGTCCATACAAAATCAATCAATTAACTATTCTTAAAAATGAACCTAATGCATTAAGCAATCCTGCAACATCTACTTCATAATGTAACGTTTACTTCTAATTAACTGACTATAAATTTAATGTAATTTTTGTGGTTTGAATTAATATTGCAAACAACCCCGTACACCCAGTAATCCAAAGGCAACTCTGTACGTCATCGAATAACCGGGTCAAAAACTATTTCAGCGTAAGTGGTCATAATTCACTGAATGCAACGTTCGGCTCAGCGAGCGTAAAATTATTAATATTCTTTCTGGTATCGACAATTTTCGATCGCATGTAAATACTCGAGGTTCGCTTTGAAATTCACAGTGGTCGAGCAGAGCTTTTTTATATTACGATGTCGCTGCCGCACACGGGCTGGGAAGTTTGATATTGAAAAACCGAAAAAAAAGGAGGAAAGAAAAAGAGAGAAAAAGGAAGAAAAATGAACGCAGTTGGGTGAGCATTGATGGACGAGAGAGTTGCGCCCACGGGGCTTTGGGGTGCATCGGTATTCGAGCAACGTTGTGCGATTCAACGTCGATATGCGTTTTACTCTCGTCCGGCCTTGGTTACGTACAGGAAGCAAGGAAAAACGAGCACGAATACATGGCCAGTGACGTCAATTTCGGTAGCCAACGTACCGTAAAGGATCGAACAGAATCTTCGGAAATAGCTCCGATACTTGCATTACTTTTTACCAATTTTCTGTTCCGAGAAGATTAAGCTCGTATCGTGGTTTTCGATCAACTTCAACCTCCGCTCGACGTTACCGTTAATCCTTTCCACTTACAAAATTTTCCGATTCAGATTATACTGATCAATTGAAACGGTAGACAATTACGCATAGAACATGAACACTATTATAGTAGATTGTTAATATTTAATGGAAAGCCTTTAAAGCAGCAGACGACTGATATAATTATAGATGATATAATTTTTTAACTGAATGTAATCATTTTTACTTTAACTTCTTCAACACAATGTTTCATACTAATAATATTTCATGTATCAACTTTATATTAATGTATGTATAAACATGGCCACCCTCTTACAATTTCATCCCTCTTTCAATCTTGCACGTCAATCAGACGATTAATCGAATCCAACTTGAATTCTCGTTAAAACGTATAACGATACAAGATCTTAATTCTCGATCACACTCGAACAGCACTAATCGGCGAATTAACGCCATACAGGTTGTTCTCCAAATGAATTCGCCATCGCGTAACGAATCAATGTACACGTCGAAAGCGGTGAATAACGCTCGAATTAACTGTAGGTTGTATCGCGTTAAATATTTCCATCGGGCGTGCGCCGTGATATTTTCCGTGGCGGTGAAACGCGATTAATCACCGATAACAATTAACGCTTTATTCGAGAACGCAAGTCAGCAAGCGTGCTGTTACGAGCCCGTTGTTTGCGCACGAGGCCACCTAACGGACGTCGAAAGGGTGAGTCGGTACAGGAAAAAGTTTATATTGGATTTCATATTTAATGCATCGAGCGCCAACTTGCCGTGCCGGAGCCTGCTTCCCAGATAAATTATTTATGTCGGAACGTTTTGTCTTCGTCGGACGAGGGTTAAAGCCAACTGGGGAGAACGATAGAATCGGGGAGGGAAAAGGACAAAAGGGAGAAACGAGGGATGATTGTTGAAAGGACGCGATAAACCTTGAACCGAATAAGAAAACGATCTTTAAGGGCGAAGATCTTGCTGCTTCGTGGTCTCATCGGTGTAAGGGAATGACGCTTAGTGACGTATAAGATGGAGACGACGATGGACGACTGATTTCTAGTCAATTATGAGTCGACTAGAATTGAACTCTGAGAAGTGAAATTTTTCAAAAATCTTGATTACCAAATCTACAAATTTGTAAATGAAAAAATTATAGTACGAGAATTTGCAAGCTGAAGAATGCACAGATTTAAAAACTACGAAATCCGAAAGAAAAAAGTTTGAATACAAATCTGACGCACCGACTCCCACGCATACGTGCATATAAACACGAATCTAATTATGCAGTAGGTCAGTGTTACCTTTGTTATTATTACACACCTGCCCCGAGTTTATTTTCACCGTGAAGCAATGCTGTTTCAACGACCGTAGAAACTTTCGCTTTTTTCTTTTGTCGACCACGAAGAGTGCTCGAGCAGGCAGTTTAGCGGCCACAACGGCCCATTCAAATAATTCTTCGCGTAAAGACAATGAAGATTACGCTGTCGTAATAATCTTGCTAGGTTGCTCGTTGCTAGGCCGTAATCAGCAACAACCAGGTCGGACATGGGGAGAAAGTAGTTGCGGCCGTTTATCGTCCGGCCTCGAGCTGCTTGGAATGTCCGGGACTACTTAGTAATCGGCCTTAAATAACGCTTTATATTCTAGGAAGCTATATTACATGAACGTTTAACATTAAGTATTTAATCTCTAATCTTTGATAGTATCAAAGAAATTTCATCGAGGAACGGGTTCGTGTCGCAATATGGCGAGAAATGTTCTTCCATGTCAGACGTTTACATGATTTTGCTGTCGCTATGAGATAATTTTAGTATGTGATCGGTTATTAGTAAAAATTGTGGAATATTTTTTGTGTAGTGTCAAATCTGAAATTCTCTAATCTTTACTTTTGATATTTTCATATTCTTGAAGATTCAGGTACCTAATTTTTAGAGCTTCAATTTCCAAAGCTCTAAATATTCGAATTCCCCAACTGTCAATTCTGAATTTTCAATTTTTACTTTTCAATTCTTAGTGTTCAATTCTCAATGTTCAATTCTCACCTTTAATTCATAATTTTCAATTCACAATTTTCAATTCTTAGTGTTCAATTCTCAATGTTCAATTCTCACCTTCCAATTCCTAATTTTCAATTCTCAATTTTCAATTCTTAGTGTTCAATTATCAATGTTCAATTATCACCTTCCAATTCCTAATTTTCAATTCCAAATTTTCAATTTTAAATTTTCAATTCTTAATTTTCAATTCTAAATTTTTAATTCTCAATGTTCAATTTTCTACGCTCAATTCTCACTTTTCAATTTTCAATGTTCAATTCTCAATGTTCAATTCTCAATGTTCAATTCTCAATGTTCAATGTTCAATGTTCAATGTTCAATTTTCAATGTTCAATTCTCAATTTTCCTTTCGCTGTTCAATTTTCCAAATAGTCAAGATTCCAAACCATCAAATTCGGAATCCGCAAATTGTTAGATGGCCCGAAAGCCCCAGTGACCACTCGTTTCCGAAAGCAACACGCATCGCTCTGTCATTGGCACGAAAACCTAAACACGCGATCGGTTGACCGCGTCAGAATGCTCTTCATGCTTGACGAACATGCGTAACACGCGTATTTACATACACGCACGCGTACCTGTCCGCGTGTGTGTAACAGCAGGTACGCGTGTTCGAAAGGTTGGCAACCAGCTGATTCTCTCTGTAACCGGAGAGATCAGATCACGATCGTTGTTTCCGGGAACACGTGTTACCGCGATATAAAACGCGATTCGTGACGATCGGTTGCGTCTGGATTGCACGCGAATCGAAGCGTATTTCAGCGTGGCGTGACAAAAGTTTCGCGGACGAAGATGAATAGTAGAAAGTTTTGCTGAACGCTCTATGCGAGACAGTGTTCTGAGATGAAGATTTACTGTTATTTACTGGGTTGTTATAAATCATTCTTCGAAAGCTCGTTATTTGGTATAGGGAAAGTGATCGTTAGGCACAGTTGTTCACTTTTAGAAATTTTTAGTATTATTCTAGTATATTATTGTTCTATTGTTTTATTAATGTGCTATTATATTACTTTATGATTTCGCTATTCTAACTGATTTTGCTATTCTTATGATTTACTATTTATTTTATGGTTGTTATTTTATTGCTGTACTATTTCAATGTTACGTTATTTCACTTTTCCATTTGACTATTATATCCTCTTACAGTTCCACAATTTGGTTATTCAACCGATCTGTTAATTTAGTACTTCAGTTTTATAAATAATTTTCTATTGAACAAAATAAAATTGTAGAAGTGACAGGTCTCAGAAGGTACATAAAGTTAGATGCTAGATTTATAACTCCTTAAAGCTTCAATGTACAAATCAACATTTTCATCCTCATCAGACAGTTAATTAAATTAAATTCACTATTAGATTTTCACCATTATCAAAGTATATCCTAGCTCCATTCTCCATCATCGACCAGTCTGACCACGTCACCCGTTAAAACCTATTCACCGTCGACGATTCTCCCGATTCGTCATCATTACACATTCCCGCGGTTGTCATTTTTAACGCAGAGACGATTAATTTCCCGTAGGAAAATCGCACGGTGAAAGCCGGCGACAGTTATGAAACTATTAACCCTTCGCAGACACGATTCTTGTAGAAACTCGAATACTGTCCGCATAATTAATGCGTCCCTTTCAGCCGAGCGATTAAAGTCTTTTTATCGTCGATATATCCTCGGAAATTTGTACGGGCTTTATATCCGCCATGAATTTATATATTCCGGAGTATTCCGGCCACTTGAAAGTTCGACTTTAGAGCGATATCGACGAGTCCGTGCACGGGAAGTTAACATCTCGAAAAGTTGCGAACTCCTGGAACATTTTACGTCATCCTCGTATATTCATCGTCGACGGGCATCTGCGTCAGCTTGCGTACATTTTGTTGGCTATTCGTTAAATCGGTTGCTGTTTTCACAACTTAACGTTTTAACAGAAAAAGGTTTAATGTTTATTCGAGGTTGCTGATCTGTCAAGTTTCGAATCTCTGAATTTTTGCAATACGTATTGAACGTAATTATGAAATTTTTAAATTTCAGGACTTCTAAATTTTGATAATATTAAGATTTAAAATT